GGAGCCGGAGGAGGGGCCTGCGAGGAGCCGGAGGAGGGGCCTGCGCGGAGCTGGAGGGCGGGGCCTGCACGGAGCTGGAGGGCGGGGCCCGCGAGGAGCCGGAGGAGGGGCCTGCGCGGAGCCGGAGGAGGGGCCTGCGCGGAGCTGGAGGGCGGGGCCTGCGCGGAGCTGGGGGGCGGGGCCCTCGAGGAGCCGGAGGAGGGGTCTGCGAGGAGCCGGAGGAGGGGCCTGCGCGGAGCTGGAGGGCGGGGCCTGCGCGGAGCTGGGGGGCGGGGCCCTCGAGGAGCCGGAGGAGGGGCCCGCCCGAGGCCGCCAATGCCCGCATCCCACACGGCCCCGCGACCGGAAGAGGGGTCGAGGCTTCCGCAATCTGCGGGCTGTTGCTCCTCTAGGCTGTGGGCAGCCGAGCCGCTTTGCTCGCGATGGCCGCGGCCGTCGCTATGGAGACAGGTAAGTAGCGCTCGGAACCCTAGCAAACACACCTGCCCCCGGCCAGACACGTCTTCCCGCTTCCCCGGGGCTCTTTCGCGGCGCAGCTCCGGCGGGGCTCCGGTCCGCGACTCTCTCCTCCTCACCGGCCTCCCGGCGAGGCCCCAGCGGCTGGGCGCGCTCCAGAGCCGTCCCCTCCGCCGCTGGTTTTCCGCGTCCGCGATGGGCGTGTTTAGGTGTGAGACGTCGCCAGACTGTGAGCCTTTCTGCTCCTGGCATTTCTCGAACCGGCGCACGTCCCTCCGTTTGCAGCTTGCATTCTGGACTTTCCCCGGGGTCCCTAGCGCTGCTCTGACCTTCCCCCGCTGGTCACTCTGGAAATCTTGGGTCCTGGGTCCCAGGGGGTGGTCCTGCCCCGTGGGTGCGCCTGTTCTAGGTTCTTGTTGAGCGGAGCGCTCTCTGCTTTCCCCGGACTAGTGAGGAAACCACCCCGTGCCCTTACTTCTGCAGAAACACGTTCTCACCAGCAGTCACGTCTTTTTCTGCAAGTCAGTGTCATAGATGGTGACCTTTATTTTGGGTGACTTTTGCTGTGTTTCTTCCTAGATGAGGCTGGAAATCGACTTCGGTTTCAGTTGGAGTTGGAGTTCGTGCAGTGTTTAGCCAACCCCAATTACCTTAATTGTAAGTTGTTGGCGCCTGATGGAATTGAGTAGCTGGTAACGATCTCTGACCAGAAGAATTGCAGTTCGTAATAATGTCTACTTTTATATACGCTCAGTTCAGTGGGATCTCTGCTACCTGTTCACTGGTGTGTGTGTGTGTCTGCACAGACTGGGACTTATGTTGTGAATTCATGGCGGGGGGCAGGGGGGGGAGTTATGGAAGTAGATTCTGTATGTTAGAGGTCACAAATCGGTACTTCCAGGATTGGTCTGCTCTACAGATATCTTTTTTGTTTTTTGTGCCTTTCAGTTCTTGCCCAAAGAGGTTACTTCAAAGACAAAGCTTTTGTTAATTATCTTAAGTACTTGCTTTACTGGAAAGAACCAGAATATGCCAAGTATCTAAAGTAAGTTTAATTTTTACAGTCCTAAATACGTGTATACTGTATTATGTTCCAAGATACTGACATTTAACAGACCTTTTAGTTTCACATTGGAAAAAATGTATTTTGAACCCCTCCACTCCTGTTAGCTGCCTCCGCCTTCTCTCTGAGTTGGATTACTGCGCAGTCTCACTGCTCATCCCTGCTCCTCTTACCCCCCTCCTGTGTTCTCCCAATCCCAGCCGAACAAAGCAAAATCATTTTCTAACAGGAGCCAACTTGGTCTTTCAGAAATGTAACCGCATGACACTTTGTTGCTCAGGATCTGTCAGTGTCTTCCCAGGGATGCAGAGCAGGATCCCTTCTCTCTTCTTGGGCGCAGGCTCTGTGTGACCTGGCTCTGTCTCGTACCACTCACCCAGTCCCTCTGTGTTCCTGACCCTACTGAACCCACGGTCTATAAATGCAATGGCACAGTCGTCGGCTGAAAATTAACACAGGGCACGTGTCAGGAAGATTTTCCAGAGGAGGTGACCTTCCCCGAGTCTCCCTCTGGCCACGCCTCATCGTGTGCGCTTGGTTCCAGAGCACTGCAAGAAGGCGAACGCTGCAGTAAAGCGAGCCAAATGAAGTTTTTGGTTTCCCAGTGCATTTAAAGCTTGTGTTCACACAGTACTGCAGGCGATTAAATGTGCAGTAGTGTTAAGGAAAAAAAAAAAGTAGATATCTTAATAAAAAAATATTGTTAAATAATGCTAAACATCATCTGAGCTTGTAAGCAAGTCATGACCACAGGTCACCATAACAGATATAATAATACTGGAAAGTTTAAAGTGTGAGAATTATTAACATGCGACACAGGGATTTGAGGTGAGCAAATGCTGTTGGAAACATGGTGCGGACAGACTTGCTTGATGAAGGGTTGCCCCCAACGTTTGTTTAGTTTGTAAAAGAAAAGAAATAAAAAGCAGTATTTCTGTAGCTATCGCCTTTCTTTAGAGCCTTGTATGTGCAGGCTCTGTGTTCATTTAAACATCGAACTCAGACCTCTTCTTTGTCTTAACTAGGTGGTCAGAAGGCAATAGTGAAACTTGGTGTCTTTTTTTTTTTTAAACACGTTTGAGAGGAAAATGATTCAAACTTGTCCTTTATCCAGGTCACTTTTTTGATCTGTGTCTAATACTAACTGATTCTTGACCCCACGTCTCTGCCTGCAGGACCCTTTTGCTCCCTAACTGGTCCCTTACAAACAGCCACTTGTTTAGTAACCGGAGAGAAGACTGTTAGATGGTGTGTGTGCATAGGCTTGCAGACTCTGTGTGGACACTGGGCCCGGGCGTGGGGCGTTCCGTGTCACCCCCACTGCTGCCGGAAGGCTGTCTATACTCTGGAGCTCTGGTCCCAGTGAGCACCTGCTGTGCCCTTCAGGGACAGCCGGTCCCGTTGCTAGCTGGATGCTGGGAAGGTTTTCCGTACGTTGGGATATGCTGTCCCCGGGTGTAGCTTCAACCCAGATTTCCAGTTTTGTCCCCGCGTTAATCCAGAACCGCTCTGTGACCTCTTGAGACACTTGCCTTTCAGACGTTTGCATTCCTGAGACTTGCAAGTTCACATCTGTGGGCATGTCACTCAGTCTGCACAAGCTTTTGTTTGAGACCTGCTGACCTTAAAGGTCCGAAAGTTTCATGTAATAATCCGGACCTCGGCTACTCTTTAAATCTGGAGGATCTGGGAACCGCAGGCCTTCATCTTCCCTGTCAGGGACTAGCCAGCCTGTGGGGCGGCCGCCGCGTGCAGACACTGGCACCACGTCCTGCTTCCCCGGCGGCCGGTACCCGCACCTGTGACGTAGCCCTTACCTGTGCGTCCCCAGCCACCTTTACCCATTTGTCACACGCCCTCCACTGTTCAGCCAGGACTGCACACAGGCCTTCGGACGTGGTCGGGGTGCAGTGGGCCGGATGCAGGTCTTCGTGTAGACGTTACACTTTGATAAGTGTAACTGGAGTTTCTGTTACTTCTCTCGGGGGGTGGGGCGGGGGCAGGGACTCACACTGCCGGCTTGCTGAGAACGTTATGTCAGCTCCAGCCCCTCTTTCTTATTTTGATCAGTGCTATTAACTGAGTTCATTTATGTCTTACTTTTAAAAAATCTAAGTGTGCAACTTTCCTTTCATACCCCTTCGTCTTGTTGGTTAAAGCCAGAATTGTAGCCTATTGAAATATTTACTCAGAGTTGTCTTTTATTTATTTATTTTTTTAAATTTTTTTTTTTTTTTTAATGTTTATTTTTTTTTTTATTTATTTCTAGGAGCGAGAGAGAGACAGCGTGAGCAGGGGAGGGTCAGAGAGAGAGAGGCAGTCACAGACTGAAACAGGCTCCAGGCTCTGAGCTGGCAGTCAGCACAGAGCCCGATGCGGGGCTCTATCCCTCGAACCGTGAGATCATGACCTGAGCCAAAGTCGGACGCTTAACTGACTGAGCCCCCCGGGCACCCCTAGAGTTGTCTTTTACAAGTTTGAGACATGATCGCTACATGTTTAAGTTCCGTTTGTCGATTAAATGCCACTTGAGACCATTCTCTTGGTTGTCGTGATAGTTTAGATTGTAGGTGAGGAAGCTAAAGCTGACCGAGGTTGAGAACCTTGTCCAAGCCACCCAGCTGGTGAGCGGCGGTGCTGGTGTTCGAACCCGGGTCTTTCTCACTCCCAGTGCCTGCCGAATGTATGAAGAGGAAGGAGGTCGGGTGTGAGTCGGCCATTTCAGGCCTAGCTCCACCAGCTACCAGCAGCCGTGTCCCTGGAGCGCTGATAGCGCGCCATTGTTATCGCGGAAGGACAGCGTCGGTGATGGGCCCTGCTCCTCAGCGTGGTCCCCAGACCAGCAGCACCGCTGTCACTTGGGAGCCTGTTAGAGACGCAGAGCTCAGGCCCCACGTCAGACCTACGAAATCAGAGCCTGCACTTGGGACGTGATTAGCGTGCACGTAAAACATGAGAAGCACTTCCGTGGTGCGCCGTTTTCGTGTTCAGTCTCTCTGTACCACCTGCACAAGTTTGGCTCTCAGCTCTCTGCATAATTTAATGTTTTGTTTTGTTTTTTAATTTTTTTTAATGTTTTTTTTTTTAATTTATTTCTAGGAGAGACAGAGACAGCGTGAGCAGGGGAGGGTCAGAGAGAGAGGGAGTCACAGACTCTGAAACAGGCTCCAGGCTCTGAGCTGGCAGTCAGCACAGAGCCCGACGCGGGGCTCGAATCCACGAACCGCGAGATCATGACCTAAGCGAAAGTCGGACGCTTAACCGACTAAGCCACCCAGGCGCCCCAATTTAATGTTTTTTATAATGCACTCCGATTTTACATCTTTTCTATTTTAAATACTTTCACTTACGAAATAGCTACAGAGATGGGAAAGATAATTCCTATATGTTTTTCACCCAGATATTCTAAATGTTATTTTTTAACCACAGGACAGTGATCAAGATCTGAACATTAATATATCAGCTAGTCTGCAGACCTCATTCCGATTTCGTCTGCTGTCTCATTACTGCCCTGCGGCTGGGGCAGTGTCCAGTCTAGGCTCCTGTCTTTGTGTCGTCTTCGTCTTTAATCTTGAGTTTCTTGGCCCTTCCCCCTGCGCTGCCCCCACCGCCCCGTGACTGGGCCCCAGCAGTGACTTTCTGACCTCCTTGGTGTGTCCCATCAGGAGTCCTAGGAAGTCACTTTGACCTGCTACTGGAGATGTTAATTTCGGTCACTTGCTTGAGGCCCTGACTGTTGGGTTTTACCACATCAAGTTACTTGTTTTCCTTTTGTATTTAGTAAGTGTCTGTGAGGAAATACTTTGAGACTATGTAAATACTTTGTTTCATCTTATACTTTTACCCACTAATTTTAGCATCTATTGATACGGGTCTGAAACAAATTCTATTTCTGTCATTTTTTCTACATTTATTAGTTGTGATTTAGATGTCAGGAAGAATCATCTCTTTATTCTCGATTTATTCATTTAAAAGAATTATATCAACATGGGCTCTTGAATTCTTATTTTTTGGATTATAACTGTGTTTTCTCGTAATGGTTTCAAATATGGCCATTAGTCCCTTCAGATTGGCTCCTGAGTGCTTGTGACGTATCCCCACAATTTTTTGAGCACTTTCTTCCTGGCACTGCATAATATTCCAGGTTCATCTGGTACTTTCCCTGCCTTCGCCCTGGAATCAGCCATTTTGCCAAGGCCCCTGGAAAGTGGTATTTCTAATCCATGACCTGGGCGCTGAGTGTGCTTGTTGGTACCCATGTCATTGCTGCTAGGCCCTCTCAGGACGCACAGCTAAGAAGTCGTGTGTGTGTGTGTGTGTGTGTGTGTGTGTGTGTATACGTACACACATGTCTGCTTCCAATCTTTGTCGGTTTCTGAGTCTGCTGACGGTTCCAGGTGCAGCTCCGCGACGCAGGGTCCATTCCAGCCTCCCCCGGCCTTGTGTGTAACGACTCCCCTAACAGTCGGAAATTTGGCTCTCCTCATCCGCAGTGTGTTGACTTACTCAGTTGCTGATCTTAGGTCACACGCCAAGTAATTCCAGAATGGTTACATCCCTGTGGAAAACCACAGTACAGTACTGGTGCATAGTTCTTTCTGAAATGGAGTCGGTTTTGAAAAAAAGCGGTCTTTATCACGACTCCTGGAAATCCGGTAGTTACCAATGATAAACTTACTATACCGAGAAGCGTTTGCGGCCCTCGCCGTGGGCGCCTCCGCGGGAGCGCGGGGCTGCCGAGCCGGGCCTGCTGCTCCTGCGCGGTGCGGGGAGGTCAGTCCTTCTGCGCTCGAGCGTTTTCCCTTTTGAAACGTGTGCCCCACGCTGACTTTTGATGACTGGCTTCTCTGCAGAGGCAGGAAAACCTGTACTACCCAAGGGAGCGAATATTCTAGAAATGGTAGCCTACAAGGGCCGTTCTGGGAGAGAAGCGGAGGTGGAGCGTGGCCGACGCGCGCGGAGGGCGCCGCCGCTAACTTGTGCGCTTGCGCGCAGGTACCCGCAGTGCCTGCACATGCTGGAGCTGCTGCAGTACGAGCACTTCCGCAAGGAGCTGGTGAACGCGCAGTGCGCCAAGTTCATCGACGAGCAGCAGATCCTGCACTGGCAGCACTACTCCCGCAAGCGGATGCGTCTGCAGCAGGCGCTGGCCGAGCAGCAGCAGCAGAACAACGCGGCGGGGAAGTGAGAAGCCGGCCGCCGACGCGGGGCCCCTGACCGCCGCCCCCTGACCTTGGGGCCCCTGACCGCGGCCTCGGCCTCACTGCCCCTGCGCGGAGACGGGACTCTCCCAGCCGCGCCGCCGGGGAGCACCCAGAGCTGTACGTGCCGTGTGATCCAACCCACTTTTTGTTGTTAATAGGTTCCTTCTGTCCAACCAGAGTTGTTCTCCTGTGGTTTCCCTGTGGGTTTGTAAGTTATCGTTAGTACTTAACCAACCGAATAAAACAGAAACGTTAGGTGCTGTAAACCAGTTTAAGGAGTCGGTGAGGGATGGGGCAGGGGGAGGGCCACCAGATGTCCCCAACTCTGCAAGTCCGTGTCCCTCCGTCCCACTGTCCCTCGGATCGGCTGCCCTACGCCTCCCTGTGCAGAATGAGGGGGAATCGAGTGAACGATTTCTCCCATCAGGGAGCGGGTGCTGCAGGAAGGTTCTTACTCTGCTCAGGAGGAGGACTGACCGTGTCACCACTTGCCCTGCAAGAGGGCTCAAAGGAACAGCCGGCGTGTCACCGACCTAGTGACGGCACGGAGAAGGTTGGTGGTTAACTTCTCACCGGACCCTTGACTTTGGACTAGAATAAAGATGAGGAGCCTCAGACACTTGTGATCGTGCAGCGCGAAACGTTTCCGTGGCCGGTGCTGCACCTGGGCCCACGCTTCCTGCTTTGTCCTGCTCTCAGTCCCCTTGCAGACCCGCCGCGTCCATACAGGAGGAGGCGGAGGTTCACACAGGTTAAGAAGCTCGTCTGCGGTGGTGATGGGTGTGACTGACGCGCGGCCGGGGCTCTTGCCACCATTAGGTGACACGGTCTCTGACCTTCCCGAGCAGGAAGGCGTCTTCAGACGGGAAAGCCAGACTGCCTGTGGTGAGCGAGGCTGGATTAGGTGCGCTGTGCTCTCCGTCACTGGCTATGGGAAGTTGTACGTTCTAAAGCCACACAGAGTGTTTCCGGAACCGTTCTTTGTAAATGTGTGGCATTTACCGTAAAAGATCCTAACTCCTTTCAAGGCGTGGAATTTGCCTTCTGTATTGGTAGGGACACTGCTGTCACCTCCAGCAATGCACCCCTTGTGCTGTCCCCGTCTCTCCTAAAGACTGATTCTCCCTTCCTCTTAGAGATTCCCAAATATTACAGGCAAACTGAGGGTTCATGAGCATTTTAATAGCACTATTTAGACATAAACCAGTTTTTACGTCATCATTCATTTGTTTATTGCTAACGTGAATTCAAAACAAGTATGCGATTGCTTTTATACCAGAGCAAGTCAGGAAATCAAGATACGACTGCCATCATCAACTCTTAATCTTCAGAGAACAACATCTCCACGAGGCTGGCCTGGAGACACTCGGATTCCACCAGTCTTTGAGGCTGTAATAGGAGAGTGGTCTGATCTTAACCCAGATCTACAAACATGTTATTAGGAAGGGAAGGAGTTCTGCCTTGAGTTAACACAAAGCTTACAATGGAGAAACTACGCTATATCATCTAGTTACAACAAGCTTTATTAAATAGTTAAACTATGTGCCTTAAGATAAATCATTAAAATACTTGGCTCCGTGGACTAAAACAAGAGCCAGCAAGCCCAGCACACTGCCTTCCCCTCAACTCGTTAATTTATAATCCCAGGGCCACCGCTGAACTAAAGGAGGTGCCCTTTTAACTAGAACTCTGAAGTAAGTAGAAAACAACCACTGATGCTAGTGTCTTACCGAATTATGTCAACCAACTTTCTTGAGCAGCGCTTAGAGAATTTTAGAACAGTGGCTTTTACAAAGCATGGGAAACACCTAATACTTAGATACTGGCATTATTAATAGTTTATTTGGATTGGCCATAGGGATGGACAGCCAAGTTGTACATTTTTAATAGAGCCCCAGTGTGATATTTGGGATGAAATGTCAAGATCTTTTCAAATTTGAATCCAGGACAAAAGAGTTGATGGGGTGAGTTGTAGCCCCACCACAATGACAGGACAGACACTTACTGTTCCGTATTTAAGGAGTGTAGGAACCGCAGTTACTTTCAGGTTTTTTCTGAAGTCGTTATTTGGATCTTTCCAACTGTTTCGAAAAGAAAAAGTGATCATGGAAAACATTTACTTGGTTTCTCACCATTTACTTAATATTTGATAGATTCCTACATTTAGTCTTTCAGTGATCACTCGTTTTGTTGTAAATGTTCATAAAAGCTTGAAGACTTGAAGCCTCTGGTCGCTTGACTTGCCCGACCCTGGACCTAAGCACGCAGATCCTTAGTCCCCGAGGCCCTTCCGCCTAAGTGTGCGCGGGCCCAGCGCGCCCGGGACGGGACGGAATGCACGCGGGCACTTACTAAGGTTTCTCTCCCACTTGGCAGTAGATGAACACACACCCTTCACTGACGTGCTTCAGCCCCTCTCGCACGACTGGTTCAGCTTAAAAAAAAGTCGATACCAAATAGTCAGTCATGGGCTCTAGAATCCGGCACCGAGAAACAGCGTCGCTCCCCTCTCCCCTCCGTCTCTGCAAGTGCTCAGACTTGAACCGAGGGTGACCTGAAAACCACTCCAGGGCCGAGCGCGGATCGGTCTCCGCGCCAAGGCGCCCAGAATCCTGCGGGCGCCCGGCTCGCCCGTCCCGGGGACTGGATGCCCCAGGACCCGGGTCGAGCGGCGGGGCAAGCCCGGTGAGCCCCTGCGCGGGCTCTCGCGCCCTCCCGGGCCGCAGCCCCCAGGCCCCGCCTCTCACCCTGCACGCAGTCGGGGCACCAGCTCTTCCCGCCGGCATCCTTGGAGCCGGTAAAGTAGGCGAAGATGGTCTTGCCGCGGTGCTGCTCCACCGCCCGGCTGAACTCCTCGAAGCCGGACACGCTCACCACCTCGTAGCCGGCCATCGGGAGGGAGAGCCGCGCACCGCGGGCCGGGGCTCCGGGAGGCGCCGCCGCGGGGAGGGGCGGGGCGCGGCCGCTTCCGGGCGGGCGGCCGGCGGGGCTCCGCGGCGCTACGGGAGCCCGGGGCGGCCACAAGGCCTCCGCGCCGCCTCCCGGCCCCGGCTGTCGCCGCCCGGCGCCCTCCGCGCTCTCCGCGCTGCTTCTGCGCAGGCATCCGGGCTTCTGCCCCAGCCGCCCCGGCCCCGGCCCCGGCCCCATGTGCGGTGGCTGCCCACCCTGCCGTCGTGCAGCCCTGGGACCCTTCGGTGGCTCGGGACGCCAACGGCTCCCAGGCCGCCCTGCGCCCGTTGCTGTGGCGACCGCGCCGGCGCCCGGAAGCGCAGCCTAGCCGCCCCCCACCCCCCGCCCGCTCCCCGGTAGCTGCTCCGCGCCCCAGGCCAGGTGGGCTCGGGCCGGGACTGGGGGGACTCTGGGAGGCCGCACCAGGAGCCGTGGCCCCGGGGGACAGGAGCCCCTGAGCCGTGGCCCGCCCCGCCGCTTGTCGCCCCTGTCGCCGTCGCTCCTGCCGAGGCCGGGGGTCCGGGGCCGAGTGCGTGCGTGCGTGTGCGCGGCGGCCCCCGCGGCGGGCGGGCCTGCGGCCATGAGCGGGGCTGCGGGCCGCTGCGTGGGGCCCAGCCGGCCGGGGCGCGGGCGCGGGCGGCCCTGGGGGAAGAGGGGCGCCGTGGGGGCGCCGCGCGGCCGGGGAGCGGGGCGCCGTGCGACGACCTCGGCCTGGGACGCGCGCTGCGTGAGCGCAGAGAGGCTTCAGGACTGTCGGCGGCCCCGGGGGAGGAGAGCGGAGGCCGACGCGGCCGGGGCGGCGGGGGCGAACGGGCCGGAGGCCTTGGGGCCCCGTGGCGCCGCCGCAGGCTCGGCGGAGGCCGCGGAGGACCCGGGGACCGTGTGGGTGGACGGCGCGGTGGGGGAGCCTCAGGTGGTGGGGCCTGTCGGTTCGGTGTGGGTGACGGGCGCCGGCGGGGAGGAGGACGGGGCGCCTTACCGGAGCCCCCGGGGCTGTGAGCGGAAAGGCCGCCCGGGATCGATGGGGCACGAGAGCATCTTGGAGCTGTGGCTGAAGGTGCAGGCCATGCGGGCGGCGGCGGGGTACGGGGAGGGGAGCAGAGTGGAGCTCCACCCGGTGCCCGCGGGAGAGGGCCCGGTTGACAGGGGCGTCCCCGGCCGGGCCTCCTGGGTGGAGACGAGCCGGGGTGGTCTCACAGGACCCTGGGTGAAGGGACAAGCTCGGGCAGTGCCCCGGGTCTCGGGAGTGTCAACAGCCGTGGGTCTGGGGGCCGGTTGTGAGAGGGTCCCAGGCCTGTGCGGGCGGGGACAGGCGGCCGGCCTGCTGCCTGAGGGTGTGCCTGGGATGGTCCCCTACCTGCTGGGGAGAGGACAGGCCGCGGGGTGGCGCGAGGCTGTGGAGCTCCCCAGAGCCGTGGAGAGGGAGCGGGGCTGGGGCGGTGCCCCCCGTCTGTGGGGCAGAGGGCAGTCCCTGCAGGTGCCCGGGGCTCCCCGCCCAGAGGCCATCTGTGGGGACACCCCGGACTCATGGGGCGGGGGGCAGGCTGCGAGGGTGCCCGATGCTGTGGGGGCGCCCAGCAGTGTGGAGGAGGAAGCCTGTGCGGGTCCCCTGGGCGCTTGGCGGAGCGAACAGGCGGTGGAGGGGATGGGGTCTGGGGGTGCTCCTGGCACATGGGGCACTGGACAGCCCATGGGGGTGCCTTGTGGTGTTGAAGAGGAAGCTCGATGTGGGGGTGACCCAGGATTCAGGGAAAGGGGACAGGCTGTGTGGGTAGAGACGGGCTCTGGAGGGGCCCTGGGCTCCTGGGCAGTGGCACACGCCGCGGAGGCGTGGGGTCGTGCGGGGCAGGCGGTGGGCCCTGGAGGTGCTCCAGGCCTGTGGGGTGTAGAGCCGGGCATGGGGGTGCCCACGGCCCCGGGGAGGGAGACAGGCTGTGGGAGTGTCCCCGGTGTGTGGGGGACCCAGCAGCCTGTGGGGGCGGCGGGGGCAGTACCAGGGGCTCTGGGGGGACAGGCGAGCTACGGGGCCACCCCAGGCCTGTGGGACGGGCAGCGGGCCCTGGGGGCGCCAGAGGCCATTGTGGGGGACACAGGCTGTGGGGGTGTCGTGAGCCTGTGGGACAGGAGGCAGACTCTGGGGGAGCGGGCGGTTCTGCTGCCCACAGCGTTAGGGGCACCCGGGCCCGTGGGTCAGGAGGGCGGCCATGGGGACACGTCTTGTCTGTGCAGAAGGAGACAGGCCGCTGGGCTGCCTGAGGCCGTGGTGCTGCCCAGGCACAGGTGCAGCGTGGCGGGGGTCGCGAGGGCGCCTACGGGCCTGCCTGCCGCCGCGTGGGTGTCTGGCCCTGTGTGTCACGACGGCAGCTCTAGAGGCGGCCTGAGCCTGTGCGAAGGCGTCCATACTGCCGCGGTGCCCGTGGCTCCCGAGGGGCCTTGGTCGGTGGGGGACGCTGTGGCTTCTGCAGCTTTCCCGGGCCCGTGGGAGAGGGCGCAGGCCGTCGGGGGTCCGGAAGCGCCCGGACACGCAGGGCAGGAGACAGGCTCTGGGGGTGTGCCGAGACCTTGGGGAAGGAGACAGACCGCAGGGACGTCTGCAGCAGCTGTGGTGCCCGTGGCCCCCAGGACGTCTCAGCCTCTGCGGGACGAGTCCAGCCCTGGGGGTGTCGCAGGCCTGTGGGGGGAGAGGGAGACGGTGCAGGCACCTGTAGACACCAGGGGTCCCGCGCGGGTGGGGCTGTCTCCCCCCGGGATGCCTGGGCCCACGGGGGAGAGGCTGGGCCTGGGGGGCCCCTCCGGTTCCCTGGGAGGGGGACAGGCTGCTGAGATGCCTGTGGCTGGGGGGCTGCCCACGGCGGCGGGGGCCCCCGGGCTGATGATGGCCGACACCAGCCGTGGGGACGTCTCCGGTGGTTGGGAACAGAGACCCAGGACAGAGGTGCCCACTGCTGCTGGGGCTGCAGGACCCGTGGGCGGCCTGTGGAGGAGGGGAGCCAGCAGGCCAGTCCCTGAGGCCGCGAGGGTGCCCCTGCCTTTGGGGGTGCTCGCGGCTGTGGGGGTGCCCACAGAGGGGCGCGTGCCTGCTGCCGTGTGGGTGACCGGGTGTGTGGGGGAGGAGGCCGCTGTGGCTGCCCCTGGCCTTCCGGCGTCCAGGACACCATCTATGGAGGGAGCTGGGGCTTCGGTGGGGGAGGAAGGGGGTGGCCGGCAGGCCGTGGGGGTGCTTCTTGCCCGTGGGTGCGGGACCCGGTCCTGGAGCTGCCCGAGGCCCCCAGCGGAAGAGAGCCGCTGTGAGAACGTGCCTGCAGCCCCAGGGCCGAGAGGCACGGTGGGGGCGCCCCCGATTTCAGGGCAGGAGACGGGCATCGGCCATTTCAGAGGTCACCCACAGCAGAGTGGGGGGGGACAGGGGGGAGGAGCGTCTGCAGTGAGGGTCCGGGGGAGCTCTTTGGGGGAGGACAGGCTAAGGGGGGCCTTCCCATAGTACATGTAGGGAACTGGTTGGGGGGGTTCTTGGGCTCTTTGGGAGGGGCAGGCTGGGGGGAGGTTGGTCCTGGGTTGTGGACGGAGGCGCTGGCCATGGGGGTGTCTGAGGATCTGGGACAGGTGCTTTGTGGAGGCGTCCTGGGTCTATTGGGTGACAAGCTGGGAGGTGTCCTGGAGCAGTGGGGATGGGACGGGTTGCAAAGAGAGGGGCGTCCCAGGAATTTGTACAGGTGACAGTGGGGTAGGTGTCCCTGGACTCTGTGTACGTGTGTGTGTGGCGTCACTCGAGGTATCCTGCAACGGGGAGGGGGCGTGTCCCCTAGTGTTTCCTGGTGCAGCAGAGTCCTAGGCCTTCGGCTTCCGGGGCCAGTGTCGGCCGCGTACAGCCTGCAGGGCCCCGGCTCCGTGGGCTCCTCCGTCCTGCGGCGGCCGCCCCGGACTGTGGTGACGAAGGCCAGCGGGACCGCCTCGCCCCTGCCCTCCAGTCTCCGTGTCGCTCTCGTCTCTGCAGCCGTGGGGACAGGGTCTTGAGCAGCTGCCCTTCTGTTCCTACGCACGTGTCAGTCTACAGACCTTGGATTTATTCAAAAGCTTAAATTAGGGATTTTTTTTTTAAACCTGGATTTCCCAAATAATTTACTGTAGGATTCTTTGAGAGAACAAACACACAAGTACATTTAAAATGAATCGGTTTATGGAAAATCAGCTTAATTCAACAGCCGTTGAGTTAAATTATCCGCTCTGCTCAAAGCACTGTATTGTGGGAAATCTCAGAGAAGAACAAGACCAGGCCCTTGCCCTCCGGGAAGCCCGTGTGGCTGGGAAGATGGGCCGTGGCTGGAGACACCGGTATGTGGTCCGCTCGCCACGGGTACAGGCGTGCCCGGCGTCTGTGCGGAGGCGCCCGAGACCGCGGGGAGAGCGTGGCCCGCGCCCCCTACCAGTCCTTACGGACGCCTTCCTGGCTGTTAGCTCAGGGGCCGTGGGGGGGGGGGGGGGGGATCGCAGGTTCAGGGCCCCTTCTGCTAGTTCGGAGCCAGTGGCCTCGCCCAGAGTCCGTCAGCTCTGCCCTGCTGAGCGGCCCCGAGGAGCCGGCGTGCGCCCGTTGGGTGTGGCAGGGTTTGCTCACGCAGACGGTGCCCACAAAACTGCCCGGTCACCGCGGCAAAGCCCGTCTCTGCGGTAACGTCTTAATGGTGGCCCTTGAGATTTGGGATTCGGAGCAGCTCGACAGGAAGTCACTAGAACAGTGTGTCCTCCTGTTCTCCTGGAAAGTAGGGTTCCGAAGGGGATGACACTTCTGTAGAGGGCCCTGTCCAGTACCTTCCTGAGCACCGCTGCCCCGCGGGCCCCCGGCACTGGGCTGCGGGGTCGCCCTCTAGAGTGCTGTCCGCGGGCCCCCAGCACGGGACCCCCTCTAGAGTGCTGTCCGCGGGCCCCCAGCGCCGGGACTCCCTCTAGAGATGTCCGCGGGCGCCGGGCTGCAGGGACCCCCTCTAGAGTGCTGTCCGCGGGCCCCCAGCGCCGGGACCCCCTCTAGAGTGCTGTCCGCGGGCCCCCAGCGCCGGGACCCCCTCTAGAGTGCTGTCCGCGGGCCCCCGGCGCCGGGCTGCGGGGACCCCCTCTAGAGTGCTGTCCGTGGGCCCCTGGCGCCGGGCTGCGGGGCCCCCTCTAGAGTGCTGTCCGTGGGCCCCCAGCGCCGGGACGCCCTCTAGAGTGCTGTCCGCGGGCGCCGGGCTGCGGGGACCCCCTCTGGAGTGCTGTCCGCGGGCCCCCGGCGCCGGGCTGCGGGGACCCCCTCTAGAGTGCTGTCCGTGCCGTTGTGTCCGCCCCCTTCCGGTGTCTGGATGCCCGTGGTCTGAAAGCAGACTCCTTCTGTTTTAGGCGGTGACCTTGGAGGGCCCCCGGCAGCGCCCCGCGCCCCGACGGCATGGACCCGGGCAGGCCGGCCCCCGCCTGTGTTCACCGGGCGCCTTGTGTCCCCCTGGACGGGAGGCGTGACCCCAGCCAGCACCAGATCCAGGTAGTTTGTCATTTTGTCTTCAGGTTTTAGTCTTCACGCCGCGTTTGGAGCAGAACTTGGAAGCAAAGGACAGTGGACACGTCTTAAACCACGTTTGAGATTCGACGGGCGTTAGCAGCTTACCCTGCTTCACCCTCGGGTGTTTAGAGAGCCAGCTGCAGGCGTTCTAGTATTTTAGAACACCTCTACGCACGCGCCGTCACTCCGAAGAAAATGGACAAGTTTTTCCCTAATATTATCCAATAACCAATTTCCCTTCAGCTTCATCTAGTTGTGACCGATACGTTTCCCCCAACAGCGAATTTATGAAAATCCTCACAACAAAGTCGAGCTCTGCCGGGATCCCCCGAGTTCTTCCCGGGATCCCCCGAGCTCTGCCGGGATCCCCCGAGTTCTTCTCGGGATCCCCGGAGCTCTTCCCGGGATCCCCCGAACTCTGCCGGGATCCCCCGAGTTCTTCTCGGGATCCCTGGAGCTCTTCCCGGGATCACCCGAGCTCTGCTGGGATCACCCGAGTTCTTCCCGGGATCCCCCGAGCTCTGCCGGGATCACCCGAGTTCTTCCCGGGATCCCCCGAGCTCTTCCCGGGATCCCCCGAGCGCTTCCCGGGATCCCCCGAGCTCTGCCGGGATCACCCGAGTTCTTCCCGGGATCCCCCGAGTTCTTCCCGGGATCCCCCGAGCTCTGCCGGGATCACCCGATTCTTCCCGGGATCCCCCGAGTTCTTCCCGGGATCCCCCGAGCTCTGCCGGGAT